TTACTCTGATCCACAATTTTAAATATATTGTGATCCAGAATATACGCGTGTGTAAGTGAAAGGAAATACTTAGGATTAATCATCATCCTTGTCCTGCAATGCAAGAGTAGCTTCTGTAATTAGCAGGATGCTGTTTACAACTCAATTACTCTCAGCAATTCCTAGATGATGGCCAGTTTGAAAAAGGCTGTTCTGGCTGGGGTGTAACTCAGTGGTAGTGCTTGCCTAGCATATGTGAATCCTAGGTTTGATACTTAGCACTGCAAGATAAATGGATAGATAAAAGCTGTTCTCACATGCATGGAGGAAGGATTGTCTCTTTGGGTCAAGGCTTCCTGCCTCTGCTGAGTTGGACTCAGTCTTGATTAAGAACAGCCAGCGCCTCTTGACAGCTTACCTTGTGTCTGCAGATCACCCCCTACTGTTGTGGGAAACAGACCACAGACCCACAGATGGTTGGTAGAGAAGAGAACTCCAAACTTTATTGTGAATGGGCAGACACAGAGGAGAAAAATTTCAAATTCTGAGCCCTCATCCACAGTTTCTTACAACACTTATAGGTCATTTGGTATCATTTTAGACCTGTCCTATATATATATATATATATATATATATATTTTTTTTTTTTTTTTTTTAACCTCTTCTTAAAAATCTCTTAGGCCCGGTGTGGTGGCACATGCCTATAATCCCAGAGGTTCAGTGGGGAATGAGGTCCTGTATCTGGGCAGGGCCTTCCACAGAGCAGGCAGAGACCCTGGGGTGGGCACAGGAGCAGCATCTGCCAAGAGCAAAATGAAGGCACTGCAGCCAGAGTGGAGTGAGATCGGAGAGGGGGTGCAAAAGGGAGCTTGGGGCAGACTTGGGTCTTGTTTTCTTCTGAGCGAGCAGGTGCCACTGGAGAGTTGGAGCAGAATATGAGCCACCTTGGGCGTTTCTGTTTCTGTTTTTTTTTGTGGTACTTGGGTTCAAACCCAGGGCCTTGAGTCTGGGAGGCCAGTGCTCTATCATTGAGCGACACCCCAGCCCTCTTCAGTATTTGAGACACGGTCTTGCCATGTTGCTGAGGCTGGCCGGGAATTTGTGATCCTCCTTCCTCTTTCTCCCAAGGCCCAGGGGTTACAGGCATGCACCACTGTGCCCAGCTCTGACTCACATTTTCGTGGGGTCCTGGATTGCTGGGTGGAAATGGACAATGAGAGGACAGATACAAAACAGCCAGCCAGGCAGGACGTGATGGTGTCTTGGACTAGGGCAATTGGGATGGAGGTAGAGGAAAGGAGGTTCCGGATACCTTTTGAGACACCACAGTGTATTTTATTGCTACTTCTTGAAGGATGTTGGGATTCACAACGAAGCTGCCGCTGAAACAGACTCCCTCTGAAATTAAGGGCAACTTCCTGATAACTTGTTTTTCTGTGGGATATGAAACAGCCCCTGTTGAGCAGGTTTGGTGGCACATGCCTGTAATCCCAATTGAAGAACAGCCTCAGCAGTTTAGCAAGGCCCCCGGTAACTTAGGGAGACCCTGTCTCAAAATAAAATATAAAAAGGGCTTGGGATGTGGCTCAGTGGTTAAGCAACCCTGGATTCAATCCCTGGGTACCAAATAAATAAACAAACAGAGCCCCCTTTGAAATTAAGCTCAAAATTGTTTCAATTTTAGAACTTCCTTAGCATGAGAATAAAACCTTTCTCCTTCTGAGGACAAACCCATCGGAAGTTGGAAGTCGAGACCCACAGGTTCTCTGGCTAACTAAATCTGCCTGTGTATACTTCCTGAGTCTTGTCCCACAGTCTCTCTATAAAAGCTTTTCTTTCTCTGAAGATAGAGGGATGAGAAAAGTTGTCTGTCTTCTTCAAAGCTGGTTTTAAGGGGTTGGGGGTATGGCTCAGTATGGAGAATGCTTACCTCACATGCACAGGCCCTGGGTTCAATCCCCAGCACCATCAAAAGAAGAGTTGGCTTTGAATAAACATCCCAGCCAAGTTGCCTCTTATTATTATTTTTTTAATGAAATAGTGGAAAAGCCCTTCCATCTGGGAGTGCTTTTTTGTGTGTGTGGGAGCAGGGGTACTGGGGATTGAACTCAGGAGCACTTGGCCACTGAGCCACACCGCCAAGACTATTTTGTATTTTATTTAGAGACAGGGTCTCACTGAGTTGCTTAGCACCTCACCCTTGCTGAGGCTGGCTTTGAACTTGCAATTCTCCTGCCTCAGGCTCCTGAGCTGCTGGGATTATAGGCATGTGCCACCGCGCCTGGCACTCTTATACAAGACTTGGTATGGACAATCTTTCTCCCTTGGATAAATGCCGGGAATAGAATGACTGCATAATTCAGTGGGTCTGTTTTAACTTTGAAAATAAAAACAAAAGAACAGTACCAGACAGGTAGCTCACACCTGTAACCCCAGCAACTTGTAAAATTGAGGCAGGAGGACTGCAAGTTCAAGGTGAACCTCGGCAATTTACTGAGACCTTGTCTCAAAATAAAAAGTAAAAAAGGATGGGAGATGTAGCTCACTGGTAAAGGGTCCCTGGGTTCAATCCCTAGTAACAAAACTCAGCTTTACTGAGGTGTAATTTTCATACCATAAAAATGGTGGAGCTGTACATTTAATAATTTTACTAAGTATACAGTTGTGCAGCCATTGCCACACTCCAATTTTAGAACATGCCTGTCACCCCAGAAAGATCATTTATGCCCTTCTGCAGAATGATGGTTACTTCCTGTTTACATGTTGGACCCAGGGAACCACTATCTCTTTTATCTATAGACTTGCCTTTTCTGGACATTTCCAATAACGGGAATCATACAGCCCGTGATTTTTGATATCCAGTTTTCTTTCTTTCTTTTTTGGTACTGGGGTTTGAACCCAGGGTTGCTTAAACACTTGAGTTACATTTCCAGCCCTTTTTATTTTTTAATTTGATACAGTGTTTTGCTGAATTGTTTAGGACCTCATGAAGTTGCTAAGGCTGGCTTGAACTTACTATCTTCTTGCTTCAGCCTCCCAACTTGTTGGGATTACATATGTCTGCTACCATGTCCAGTTTAATGATTTTAATATATTTTTTTAATATTTTATTTACATTTTAGTTTTTGGCAGACACAACATCTTTGTTTGTATGTGGTGCTGAGGATCGAACCTGGGCCGCACATATGCCAGGGGAGTGCGCTACCGCTTGAGCCACATCCCCAGCCCCCAGTTTAATGATTTTTAATGTGTAGATCTCATGAAATTTTTGTCAGGGTTTCCCCTAAATATTTCATTATTGTATTTCTCAATGCAAATAGTGTTTTGTTTCAGTACTGGGGATTAAACAGGGCAATTGTAGTACTGAGCTATGTCTCCAGGCTTTTAAAATTTTTTATTTTTAGATATGGTCTCACTAAGTGGTCCAGGCTGGCCTTGAGCTTCTGATCTTCCTGCCTCAACTGCCCCAGTTGCTGGGGATTACAGGTGTGTGCCGCTGTGCCTGGTATAAATGGTGTTTTGAAAATTTCAACTTCTAATAATATACAGAAATTCAATTTATTTCTGTATATCAATCTTATATCCTGCAACCTTCTAGAACTCATTAACAAGTCCAGAAATATATTCGTAGATTCTCTGGGATCATCAATTAGGTTATATGTGGATAAAAATAGTTTTGTTTTTTCTTTCCAATCTAAATGCCTTTTTTCTCTTCCCCTCCCCTCTTCTCCTTTTTTTTCTCCTCCTCCTCCTCCTCCTCCTCCTCCTCCTCCTGAGCCCAGGAGCACTTTACCATTGAGATACATCCCCAGCCCTTTTTATTTTTTCAGACAAGGTCTCTCTAAGTTGCTTAAAGCCTTGCTAAATTACTGAGGCTAGCCTTGAACTTCAATCCTTCTCCCTAGATGTCTTTTTTTTTTCTTTCTTTCCTTATTGCTCTGGCTAAGACTCTAGTATAATGTTGAAGTGTTGAAACATCTGATCTTGGGAATGCACACAATCTTTTATTATGAAGTGTGCTGTTAACTGTAGGTATTTCCTAGATAGTTTTTATCAGAAAGTTCCCTTCTGTTTCGAGTTAGTTGGAATGTTATTTCTGAAAATCAAAAATGGGGGTTGGGAGTATAGCTTAGTGAGAGACTGCTTGCTTAGCATGTGAAGATCCTAGGTTTGATCCCAGTACTGCAAAATTTCAAAAAGTTGGAAGTGAATGTTGGATTTGGTCAAATATGTCTAGGTAAAAGATTGTGGCACGTCCTATTTCCAACTATTAAGAAAAAGGGACAGTGCTGAATGGGTGTTTTTTTCCTGAATCTACTGAGACTGTTTTCCTTTCCTACACCCTCCCTGCCCAATGTGGTGAATTATATTGATTTAAACATGTTCTGGCAAGTCACTTCATCTCAGCCTCAAGAGGCTTTTTGGAAAACGGGAAAATACCTCCACGCATATTTATGGCATATGGAAAAGACCTGGCCCAAATGCCTGGCACATAGTAGGTACTCAATATAAACTGACAAAAATTATATAAATTTACACCGGATTCTAGGTGTCTGTGTTCTTATTTTACCCACGGCCTCCTTCCCCTCTTAATTCTTCCCTGCCTCGCGGTCTAGCATAGTGCCTGCTGGCACACAGTAGGCGTCTATCAATAAAAATACGAAAGAACGGTTGCGGCGGCCGCCCGCCCCGCCCACCTCGCTGCTTCCCACCCGCGCTGCTACCCCGAGCTTCGGACGCTCAAACTTCAGGCCGCAGCCGATGGGGCGTAGCCCGGCCCCTGCCGACCAATCAGAGCCCGTTCTCTGGGGCTCCGCTTTTATTCCTAAAGTTGAGCCGGGCCTCAGAAGCTGACCAATCGGCTGTGGGCCCCTGTTACCAGCGTCCCAAAATTGAAACTGCCGCTAAGGACGCGCAGTAAACGCTCGGAAGCATCCCGGCTCCGCCCCGCCCCGTCCCCGGCCAATCAGGACAGCCATGGGAGGCCCCGCCCCCGGAACGCGCGGGGCGTGGCGAGGCGGGACTCGGGCACTGCGGGTCGGGGCTTCCGGCGGTGAGTTCGGCGGATGCTTACGGGCTTGGGCAGCAGGGTCTCGGATGCGTCTGCACGTGCCCACCCAGCAGCGGGCCAGGGGCCCGCGATGCTAGAGGACGGGGCTGGCTCCCGTTCCCCGGGGTTCCGCGTGGGCGTCCCCCACTCTGCCACCGACGCTTTCCGTCCCTGTGTCTGACTTGAACGTTGCCTTCCGCTCTCGTCTGCGCCGCCCTCAACTTTCCAGAGGGGCGGCGGGGCGGCCGGAGGCCGTGCTGGCTGTGCCTTCAGCCCCATGCGAAAACAGACCCTCGGCCTGCAGGGGAGCGGCCCGGCGTCGCTGGCCAGGTAAAGGCGGGGCCCGAGTTTGAGAGCCGGGGGCTCTGAGAGAAGTGGGAAACTTGGGGCAGCCTGCAGAAGTCCCTGACGGAGGCGGCTGTGTGTCCCGGGGCCGGGGCCTGGGGTTGGGGCTTGAGGAGGAGGTGGTTTCTCAGGCCCCTTCCCGCGCTGCCCGGGAAGGGCTTTCTAGACCAGGCCTGGATCCAGATTTGGTTCCGGTCATGGATTTGCCCCTTTCTGGTTGTGAGTTGAGGCAGGTTGCTAAACCTCTTTGGACTTTGGTTTCTTTCTTCTTCTTTTTCTTCTTCTTTTTTTTTAAATATTTTTTTTAAATTGTAGCTGAACACAATAGCTTTATTTTATGTATTTATTTTTATGTGGTGTTGAGGATCGAACCAGTGCCTCACATGTGCTAGGCAAGCGCTCTACCACTGAACTGTGACCCCAGCCCTGGACTTTGGTTTCTTTACAAGTCAAAAGAAAGAGAATGAAGCCAGGCACAGTATGAGGCTAGGCAGGAGGATCCCGAGTTCAAAACCATTCTCGGCAAGGGCGAGATGCTAAGCAACTCAGTGAGACCCTCTCAATAAAATACAAAATAGGGTTGGGGATGTGTGGCTCAGTGCCCCCCCAAGGGGAAAAAAAAAAAGAATGGATTGTGGTGTAGCTTTGTGGCAGAGCACATGCTTGGCGTGCTCCAGGCCCTGGGTTCAATACTGAATATATCCACACACACAAAAAAAAAAAAAAGAAGAAAGAAAGAAAAGAAGGAGGGTAGGTGGGAGGCAGGGAAGAAGAAAGTATCCTTTTAGAAGCTTGATTTTTAAAATTTTGTTAGATTCACAGGTTACAAAGCTTTAGATTTTTAGACTTGGCATTAGTTGCTTTTTGTGGATTAAACTAGTCTAATTTCCTAGTCAGGGCTCTTCAAGGAGAATTTGTCTCTCTTGGCCTTGTTTAGTCCTAACAACAACCTGGTGGGGTAGATGCTGTTACCATATTTGGAGGATGTGAAAAGAAGACAACAGAGAGGTTAAATAAGTTGCCTGAGGCTGCATAGTTCAAGAGCATCCCAGTGGGGTTTGAACCCAGGCTTCTGGCACCAAGGCACCTTCCTCATCCCTGTGACTTGCCATCTTGACTTCAGGCGGAAGAAAGGACCTCCTGTGACCCTGATATCTGGAGTGATGGAGGATATGCCCAGGATGATGGAGACAGAGGACGTCCTGCAGCTTCGGCTGCTCAGCCTGAAGCTCCTGAGGCAGCTGCAGGCTGGGCAAGATGCCGTGCAGCGGTCAGTGGCCAAGACAGCCCCAAAGGTGGGTATCTTCCTTAGGAACTCCCAGGGGACAAGGAAGGGGCTGTCTGACTCTTAAGAACAGTACCTAGGCCTCCAGTGTCTTCTTGATCATTGTGCCTATTTTATGGATGATGCAAAGGAGGCCTTGGGAGGTAAGGTACTGGGCTGGGATACTGCCGAGGGTGGAGCAGTGATGGCCTAGGCCATGGTGTCTAGTGCAGGCAGGGTGGGTGGGCTCTGGCTGTGCTATCCCTTGGGTGACCTGGCTTGCCTTCTCCAGTCAGGCCTGAACTCCTGCAACATCTACGACTCAGAGACACCATTGTCCCCAGAAACTTCCTCAATCTCCTGGCAAGCCTCCTGTTCAAAGGACAGATGTCATAAGTGGGACCCGCTGGATACCCATGGAGATGACCCCTGTGATGTGGCCTGGCTTGACAGGGTCAGCCCAAGGGTGGCATCTCAACCACCTGTCAAGGGCCAACACCTAGAGCCCTTGGGCCAACCCAGATTCTACTCACTGACCACCATAGACCCAAAGGAGCCAGCGCCTTTATCAGGGTTGTGTGATCGGGTCCCAAGATCCATCCTGGCTGAACAAAGCGAGCAGTCCAAGGTAACAGAGAGAGGTGGGCATCCACCAGTGAGGCTTCCTTGAGCCTCAGTTTCCCTGTCTGACAGATGTGCTGTGGGCAGTATCCCTTGGGGCAGAAGGCTTCCAGGAGGTACCTTGAGTTTTATCTGTGCAGCCTAAGTTGTTGATAAGTGTTTCTGCTAGTTTTTCAGACAGCAGTTGGGAAGAATGTGATGGAGCCCCATTATACACGTGGGGAGACGAGGCTCAGAGCCTAGACTCCTTCAGAGCCATGCATAAAGTGGGGGCATAAAGCCTAAACTTATTTTCAGGCTTTTGAGCTCTCACTTGAGCCCCAGGGCCCAAGCAGGGTGAAGTCAAGACACATCCCCTGTATCCCCCCATTGTGGGCCTCTTTGGGCCAGGCCTGCCAGCCCAACCCTTGCCCCCTTGACCTCCCTCCTTAGTCCAGAGTGACCTGCCAGGAGCCTGCCACACCTGAGAGCAGCTGGAGCCTCCAGCCATACCTGGGCTATGACTGGATTGTAGGTAAGGCCTGCCCTCTGCTCACACCTTGCCTGGGAAGGGCGGTTGGGTCCTGCTTTGTCTGTTCTCTTAGTCTCTGTACAGAGGTGCTGCATCTGTTGAGTGAACAGAGCCAGAGCTGCTGTGTTTTTGAGCATTTATTACATGCTGGGCCCTGCACAGCTCAGCCTAGGTCATCTTTCTGTGTTTCACCCCCAGCCCTCCCCATGGTGGCCTCTGCCTGCTCTCCCCTGGCCTTCTTGTCCTCATTCTTGAATGTTTCGGTACATATGACATCAAATTTGCTATCTTACCCATTTCTAAGTGTGCAGTTCGGTGGCATTAAGGACACTGACATTATTGTGCCACCATCCATGTCCAGAACTTTTTCATCTTGTATACTGAAACCCTCTGCCAAGGAAACAGACTCTCTGTCCCAGCCTCACCCCAGCCCCTGGCAAGTACCTTCTCCTGTCCCTGCAAATTCTGTATCCCCTCAGGAGGTGGGCTTATTATTCCCTCAGGAGGTGGGCTTATTCATGCAGGACCATGTGTCAACACATCCATGAATATTCTGTGTATCCTGTTCTTATTATTTATTTAAAATATTTATTTTTATGTGGTGCTGAGGATCGAACCCAGTGCCTCAGTGCTCTGCTGCTGAGCCACAACCCCAGCCCCTATTCTTATTTTTTAAATAGGGCCTTGCTCCTCCCACCTCAGCCTCCCAAGTCATCTGCCTGTCTTCTCCATCACTTTTTCTCACACTGAGCTTTATGTCCTGACGTTCCACCAACACTGCTTCCTCCTCACACGCTCTCCTGTCCCACCTACCCCCATCTTCCTGGCTGCTCCTTCCCAGCTCCCTCTGCTGGGTTCTCTTACCTGTTCCTGTCTCTACACCCCAGCATCTGAGGACTCAGTCTTCCAGCCCTGCCCTCTGTCTTCCCTCCTCCCCTCTGTGATCCCATCTCATCCCAGTACCACGCCTTTTAAAGTTCTCCCTACACCCTCATGTTATCTCTAGCCCATGTCTGTCCTCTGAATCCTAGACTTGTGCTCTGGTCAGCTTTCAGTTGCTGTGCTTGTCTATTTTCTGTGCTATCACAGAATACTTGAGGCTAGGTACTTTGTAATACTCTAATAATTAAGTACTTAGCTGGTCATGGTGGTAATCCCAGCAGGCTGAGACAGGGGAATTGCAGGTTTGCAGCAAGCTTCAGCAACTTAGTGAAGCTGTAAGCGACCTAGTGACCCTGACCAAAATAAAAAAAAAGGCTGGGGATGTGGCTTAGTGATTAAGAGCCCCTGGGTTCAATCCCTGGTGCCAATAATAATAATAATAATAATAATAATAATAATAATTGTTATTATTATTATATCTTTATAATAGGATTTTTATTTAGTCCACAGTTGCAGAGGTTCAAGAGCATGATACCAACATCTGGTTGGCCTTGGAGAGGGCCTCAGAGCCGCATTGTAGCATGGTGGTAGACATGCATCATGGTAGACAGCATCATGGGGGCACGGGCAGGAGGAGCAAGCAATCACCTGGCTAGATAGGAAACAGGAGTAAACGAGGGGCCAGCCTTGCTCTTCAGTTAACAGCTTGCTCTCAGGAGTCACCAGGGTCCTGTGAGAAACACATCAGTCCCCTCCCTGGGGGAACCCCCTGCCTCCCACTAGGCCACACCTCAGCACTGCTGCCCCGGGGGCCAGCCTTCCAGCATGTGGACCTTAGGGACACCCAGATCATACCCACCCATAGCAACCAGGTGTCTCGTACTGACCTCACATCTAAGTCCAGGGTCCCGATTCCTCCCCGCCTGCCCCCCCTGCAGCCATCCTGCCTCCATAGATGGCAGCGTCAGGTCCCATAGGTCAGGCCACAGCTTCTGGGTTCACCTCCTGCTGTTTCCCATGGTGCTCATCCAGCTGTCAGCACGTTCTCTTGTGCTTCCTTCAACACATTTCTAGAATCCAGCTCCCCCTCTCCACCTGGACTGCTGCTGTGGCCTCCCACCTGGTCCCCTGCGTCCCCTCCCCTTGCAGCAGCCAGGGCAGGGATCCTGTAGAAATGCGTGGTCTCTCTGATTGTGTCCTTCCTTGTCCCCAAATCCTCTGCAGGCTTCCTGTCCTCTTCCCTTCCAAACTCGCTCCTTACTCCCTTTTTAGCCACTTGTCCCTTCTAGCTGTTTCTCACACAGCAGGCACACCCCTGCCCCAGGGCCTTTGCGTCTGCATTTTCTTTTTTGAGGGGTGCAAGGGATTGAACTCGACATCCCAGCCCTATTCCCTGTTTTATTTAGAGACAGGGTCTCACTGTGTTGCTTGGCCCCTCTCTGTTGCTGAGGATGGCTGTGAACTAATGATACTCATGCCTCAGCCTTAGCCGCTGGGATGACAGGCCTGCGCCACCGGGCCCAGCTTGCACCTGCGTTTTCATCTGCCTTCAGTGTCCTTCCTGGGATGTCCATGTGGCTTCTTAAGTGCCGTCTCGTCAGGGAGGCCTCCCTGGCACTGCTGCCTTGCCTCATGTGGTTGCCTGACTCCGCTGTCCTGGTTCCTGGCAGGTCTCACCATTCAGTTTGTCTCACAGATTTCTTTGGTGACTGGTTTATTTGCAAGGCTCAGGAGGGCAGGGCTTTGCGTCCTGTGCTTTCCCGGCACAGAGCAACGTCAGCCAGCCCATGGTAAGGGTCCCGTGCAGCAGGTTGGACGGGCCTGAAACAGAACAGCGGTGACAGTGGGTGCCGGGTTCCTCCGCTTTGTCTGGGGTGCAGCGGGGAAGGTAGTGGCTGGGGTGCCAGGGTCGCTGATTGGGCCTCAGCCAGGGGCAGCCCGGTGGCTCTCAGCCTCTCTGCCATCGCCGCTGGTGCTCTGCCCACACCAGGGTCCATGGACAGCAGCTCCTCCATCACCAGCAAGCCCGAGACCTTTTTCTCTACGCTGCAGAAGTTCCGGGAGACCAACAAGGAGGAGTGTGTGTACAGTACCCCCGAGTGAGCAGGGGCAGATGAGGGTGGCGGGGCAGCTGGGGACTCCATTGTGTGGCCTGCTCACCCCCGTACCCTCACAGACCCCAGTTCCTAGGCCTGTGTGACGGCAGTGACGTGGAGGAGGACCACGAATGTGAGTGCCCTCGGCCAGGCTGCTGCAGGGTCCGTCTATCCTGGCCCCGCCCCAACTCAAGGCCCCTGAGTTCTTGGGAACTCAGGGAGGGAAACCCTGGACCAGTGCTGGTAGGAGCGTGGGAGCTGAGGCCTGGCCTGGTGGCTTAGGGCCTACCCCGCATGACACCCTCCCCTGAAGCCCGTGGCAGGCCCTGCTGGGCTCAGTCCAGTTCTCAAGAGCCCTGGGAGGATGCTCTCCCCCCCTTGAGTCAAGCCCCTGACTGAGAGGGGGAACGGGTTGGTGGGAAGGTCCAGAACGTGCTCTCCAGAGGGTTGGTGGGCACAGTAGCCGGACATCAGGCGCCTGGCATCTGGAACCCCTGGCTCACGTAGGCTGCTGCTTCTCCCGGGCTCACAGGTGTGTACTGTTACCGTGTCAATAAGCGCCTGTTTCTGGTGCCCTTGGATCCTGGCATCCCCTGCCGCCTGTGCGGGAGACCACGGAACCCTCAGAGCCCTAGGACCCTGGTGCAGTCTACTCGGGTCAGGTGAGTGGAGCCATGAGGCAGCAACTGCCCAGGGGACGGACCTGACCCCTGCTGGTTTTGAGTCGGTGAAGATGGGGCTGAGGCTGTGCTGTGGACAGCCCCTCACTGAAGCCCTAAACAGGGTGAGCATCCCGCTGTCCATCCTGGATCCCCCGCACCAGTACCGAGTCCATCGGCGGAAGAGCTTCGATGCTTCAGACACGCCGGCTCTGCCTCGGGTGAGCAGCTGGGAGCTGTGCAGGAAAGAGGGGGCCACATGGACCCTAGGTCCGAGCAGTGCTGTGTTGAGGGCAAGCACGGAGTCTGGCGTATGTGGGGGTGTCGTCCATCACCCCTGCTCAGGCCCCGGGGGAGGATGTGCCCTGTGACCCAGCTTCCAGAATACCTGTCTGCCTGCGCCCAGCACGACATGAATGGACCCCATTTCCTGAGCTCTTGCATGCTGTGTACATGGTGTCACCCCCACTCCATGTTGCAGGGGCTGAGTCAACGGAGCTTGTGCCTTGGTAGAAGAGCTGGGGTGTAACCCCGGATCTCGGTTTTTCCTCAAGTGCTTCCTTAGCCCCACCCTTTCCTGTTTCCCGCTAGGATGGGCGTCCAGGGCCACCCACGTACCTCCAGTAGAGAGGGCAGCTGGGGTTGGAGGAAGAGGAGGAGTGGGAGCTAGTTGGCTTCTCTGCAGCGGGGTGAGGGGTCCACCCTCAGGGTGTTGGGGCAAGGGGCGTAGTTCAGTGAGGTAGGACGTGTTGGGTGCTCGGTGCTGGGGCAAAGCCCGGATGAGATGCACTCTGCCCTCCCTGCCCTTACCTCCCAGTGGCTAGGCCAGCAGGGAGAGGAAAGGCCCACGGTCATCAGTGGGTAAGACCCCTGCCCCTTCCCTGGGGGAGGTTGAGATTAGTGGCTCTTCCACCTGATGGGGCCCCAGGCCAGGTGCCTTTAACCCTTTGCTCTCCACAGCACTGTCTGCTAGGCTGGGACATCCTTCCTCCAAAATCTGAGACAAGTACAGCCCCCAAGAGCCTTGACCTCTGGTCCTCCATCTCCGAGGCCCAGCACCAGGAGCTGTCACCATCCAGCTCCCGCCTGGTAGGGTCCAGGTTGTGCCCAAGCCTGGGGTACCCTGTGAGGGACAGATACCTTGGAGCAAACCTGGGAACCAGAGTGCCCTGGGGGGGCAGGATTGGGGGTGCCAGGGCCTGCCCTCCCCCACCGACAGGCACCCTTTGACTCCACCACTCCTCGCTGCCCACCCTGTTTTACCCAGAAGGGTGACCCTGACTTTAAAATGCAGGAGGGCCCGAGGCTGGGCCTGGGGACGACCTGTCCCCCAGGTTGCCCCGACACTTCTCTGTTCACCATCCAGGCCTTGCCAGTGCGGGTCCCACCCCCTACTCCTGTCTGGTCAGAACCCCAGGGCACCTGGCCTTGTGTCCCATGGCAGAAGCCCTAAGGACCGACTTCCTGGAGGAAGAGGAGGGCGCTTTCACCTGCGCCTCTGACCTCACCCTAGCAGGCACTGCCCCTGAAACAGACGACCCCTCCAGCTTCAGCTCCAGCAGCTCAGGCCCACCTAGGTTGGGCAGCTGCATGGGCCCAGGCCTGTTTCCTCCTTGGGGTCCAGAAGGGAGGGTCTCCCAGGTGGAGGTGAGGGAATTCTCTGCAAGTTTGTAAATAAAGCTTAGTGCTCGCTGCAGCTGTGACTCACACGTGTGCCCTCTCCTGGTGCCCAAGATCCCCAGAGGGCACCTGGCCCCCACTGGCCCCCCTCTCCTGGGGAGAGACACTGACCACCCGGGCAGAGTGCACCCATCACTGTGAGTGTGGTGCCCTGCAGCTCCCACCAGACAAGTGGGGGTCAAGGTGGGTTTTAAAAAGCCACCTCTGCAAGGGCCTCAGTGGAAGCTGGATGGTGTTGGGTCAGAGGTCCCTGAAACCAGTCTCCACCCAAACAAGGGCTCTCTTGGGCCCTTTGCCAGGTGGGCCCCACACGCTCCTCTCTAACCCAGTCCTGGAAGCTGTAGGTGATCCAGAGCCCTAGCGGGGACAGATGAGGAGATTAGGGGTAGACAGATACCCACCCTGTTTTACCCAGAAAGGTGACCCTGACTTTAAAATGCAGGAGGGCCCGAGGCTGGGCCTGGGGACGACCTGCCCCCCAGATAAGGTTGGCAGAGAACCCAGATGTCACGACCATTTTTAAAAAGCAGCACCCTGGCTGGGTGCAGTGGCATACACCTGTAATCCCAGTGGCTTGGGAGACCGACAGGAGAATCGGGAGTTCAAAGCCATCCTCAGTCACGGTGAGATGCAAAGCAACTTAAGTGAGACCCTGTCTCTAGGTAAAATACAAAATAGGGCTGGGATGGGGCTCGGTGGTTGAATGCCCCTGAGTTCAATCCCTGGTACCCCCGCCCCCATCAAAAAAAAAAAAATGCTTCTTGCCAGGCAAAGTGACATAGACCTGTAAGGCAGGAGATAATGAGTTCAAGGCCAGCCTCAGCAACTTAGTGAGACACTATCTGAAAATATACAAAAGGACTGGGAATGTGGCTCAGTGGTAAATGATCCCTGGGTTCACTCCCAGTACCAGGGTGAGGTGGGGCATCCAGTCTTTCTCCCATCGTGTATATATTAAGTTGAACAATATGAAGGTCCTGATTTTTGTGGGACAAAAGTAGGGACACAGAAACCTGGTTTAGAAAAGCTTTTATTCCTGAACAGAGTTACTTCGGATTAAGGGAGAGAGAAGGGAGGGGTACAAAGGTACAAAGGATAGAATAAATCTGACATTATTACTGAACGTACATATAGGACTACATGACCAGTGGATTCTATGTCATGTACAACCAGAAGAATGAGAAATTATACTCCATTTACATATGATGTGTCAAAATGCATTCTACTGTCAGGTATAACTAATTAGAACAAATTTTAACAAGAAAGAAAAAGGAAGTCATAGGCCACTATTAAGTATTTAAAAAGTTTTTTGTTAATATATAATATCTGCTAAAAATAAAGATATACAAATTTTAAAAATTCTCATCTAAATTTAAATAAGCTATCTAAAGAAGGGAAGGAAAACATAGAAAGGAAAATGAAAATATTATAATCCAGTCTGAATATAATGAAACAGCAAAATGAGAATATAGAAAAAATTGGACAGCTAGAAGGCAGTAAAGATACAATCAAGTGGAAACTGGTAAAGAAAACTTAAGGCAGATTTAAGTCTAAAGCAAAATTGACAAAACAGTAAAGGCAACATTTAGAGAAGTGAGCAGGCTTTAACAAAAATGAAATTTGCATATAGTATTTTTAAAAAAACTTGTGTCATTAAACATGAACAAGGTGGTCTCAAAAAAAAAAAAAAGCTCTTATTCTTTAGCTAAGGTGGCACTGGGCTGTGCTGTCCTGTGCTCCTGCTTGTGAGGCTTGATTGAAGCCCTTTTCTCCTTGTTTATAGCCACGTATTAGTTAGAATAAGCTGGGTCATGCTGCAATAACAAGTTAATGTCACAAATTTGAGCAGTTTAAGGAGAGGTCAAGATTTATCCATTATGGGTCATGTGAGGCCCAAGCCAACAGACAGTGCTGTGTAGAACATCACCAAAAGCCTCAGCCTAGAAGAGACAGGGTTTCTCTATATTGCCCAGAGGCTGAGGCAGGAAGATCCCAAGTCAAGGCCACCTTGGGTCATGTAGAGAGAGACCCAGTCTCAAATTTAAAAAGTAAAAGGACAGGGGATATATCTATATCCCCAGCCCTTTCCCTGCTTTTTTTTTTTTTTTTAAAACAAGATTTCACTTAGTTGCTGAGGTTGGCCTCAAACTTGCGGTCTCAGCCTCCAAAGTCACTAGTTTACAGGTGTGAGCCACCACCCAGCTTGAGAGTTGGTGGTTTCTGTTGAAAATTCTTTGGCCAATGGGAGAAGAGAATCTAGAAGTCTTTCTGTCAAAAATTACAGATGTACAAAGGTGAATGAATCAGTTACAGGTGCAGCTGTGGATCACCGATGCTCCAAAGAGCAGCAGCCTAAACCAGACAGGGTTCCTTTTGGTAAGAGTCTGGGTTGGATGCTTTAATGGGCCGTTCAGTCACTAGGCAAGTGGTTTCTATGGAAAAATAGTTATTTTGGAAATGTAGAAGCTCCCTAATCCACTGCTTCCAGTCAGTTCCAGGCACAAGAAATCGCAGCCCAGGGGTCCCAGATAGTTACTCTGTACACCACCCAGGAAAATGCTGCTTGTCCAGCTCAACTGCAGACTGCTGACCTCAGAGATGTGAAAATGTGATTTGCATCTTAGAGTCAATGAGATGCAAAAGGCCTAAGCCTAAGAATTCCAGTCTTTATGTACTGACCTCGTGCTCCACCTGTCCCGGCCTTCAAGGCCACCTTACCTAGTGGTGGCCTTTTTGAGTCAGTCTGGAGTGATGGGCTGGGATGGGAGACAAGAGTCTTAACGTGGCCTTGGCTGTAACCTGATCTGTGAGGCTTTCTGCCTAGAATTCCTGGGAGGTTCTGGAGAAGGCCCTGGGCCACACTTGCATCTGGTGCAACCCCACCTGCTCCCCCAAACCAGAGTTTTTGTTTTTGTTTTTGTTTTCTGGTACTGGAGATTGAACCCAGAGGCACTATCCCACTGAACTACATCCTCAGCCCTTTTATTTATTTATTTTTTGGAGGCAGGATCTCACTAAGTTCTGAGGCTGGCCTCTAACTTGTGGTCCTCCTACCTCAGCCTTTCTAGTCGCTGGGAGTACAGGTGTGCACCACCAGCCCCGATGGACTCACTTCTTAGGAATGCTTTTGTCAGGGCACAGGCTTCTTCAGCCTAAGGGGCTCCCAGAATAAAGGTCACAGGCAGAGGGTCTCTTAAGGGCCTCGTGTCTTCCAGTCTGTCCCTGTCCTCCGTTCCACCTTCTGAACCTGTTCCCTGCTGACCTCCCGCTGCTTGCAAGGCCAGCCTGACTCCTGACCCAAGTTTCCTGTAACGTGGGGGTTCCCAGGACGCTCTTGGAGCACTCGCTTTGGCTCTGTCCACATCAGCTCGCACATCTCTCCTTTGGAGAGGCCCCCCACCTCTGGAGCCCTTGGACCACGCCCAGGGACCTCCCTACACTCTGGGGCCCTTCCACAGCAGTAAGTAGCAAACCACTGAGTGCCTCTCTCCTGTGAGAACTGAAACTGCACAGGAGCAGAGCCAGCATCTTTGCTCTTCATGGAAATGTTTTCATTTTCTGCTTTCTCTAAAGTTTCAGCATTTGGCCGCCTTCTCCAGCCTCCTCTCTCATCGGCCTCCATGGTGACCTGGGCCTGTGCTTTCATTTCTCTGAACAGGAGCTTTGTGGTCAGGCCTCAGTGTGCTGTTCTCTGTTCTTTTTTGTTGTTTTTTTCTCCTCTTGGCCCTTCTTTTGGAGGGGGTACCAGGGGCACTCGACCACTGAGTCACATCCCCAGCCCTATTTCGTGTTTTATTTAGAGACAGGGTCTCACTGAGTTGCTTAAAGCCTCACCATTGCTGAGGCTGGCTTTGAATTTGCAATCCTCCTGTTTTAGCCTCCTGAGCCACTGGGATTACAGGCGTGTGCCACCACGCCTGGCTGTCTCTTCTGAGTATGTAGCATTAAAGGAAAAATGAGATCTTTTACTTCTTCCATCACTGATGCCTGTGTTAGCCACTTAGAGATGAGGACGACTCGAGTCCTCCTTTGTGAGGACCGCAGTGTGGAGATGAGACAGCCGAGTGTATGGAAAGGCGGCCGCACGTGCTGCAGATAGAGCCTGGGTCCTTGACGTGGTGGGTGGCACCTATGCCCTTCACCCACTCATTCATTCATTCCTTTACCATGTGCATGTTGGGCACTGTGTGAGCCTCCGCAGATGGTGGTGACCAGGCCACACCAGCACGGACGGCAGCTGTCTGGGCTGCGGAGCTTCCGTGCTGTGGATGAGGTGACAGAAATGAGCCAGGAAGTGGGAAACAGCAGCTGGTGGCGTAAGCGCCACTTCCCTGTCCTAGTCCTGCCCTCCCAGGTGAGGAGCCTCTGCAAAGCTGCTGGCTCTGTCCCCCTTTCTCCCAGCGCAGGGTCTTTTCTCGCCCTCTTGCCTCTGCCCAGAACTTTCCCCAAAAGCACCCAACTCCTACTTGGGCCTCCCCTGGTCCCCAGAACCCCCTGCATTCTGCTCAACTCCAAGGTCCCTGAGGCAGGTGCCAAGCAGGGTGCCCAGGGCCAAGTCCAGAACAGCTGTGGCACTTGACGGTGCTCAGTAGTGGACGGGGGCTGGGAGTGCCCTCCAGCCTGCAGGCTCTGGCTCCTGGCCCTCAGGACCATGGGCTGACAGGAGGTGACCTCGCGGCAGGGCCCAGGACCAGGAGAGGATCGGGCCACACAGCACCTGCCTGGGGTAAAACCCAAGTTCATATTCAAGGGCAGCTGCTCCCGTGTCATGGTCACCCCTAAGCATTGTAAGCCGCACCATCGTAAGTTGGGGACTGTGTGTAAATGCCAAGACGTCAAGGTTGCCATCGGCTCTTCCTGTCCCCACTCACCTGTCATGGGGTGGCCGTCAACCAGAGCCGAGGGACACCCTGTGCTCACTCCTGTTGGCACCTTCCCAGGAGGATCAGAGGCGAGGAGACGGCCCTCCTCCTGGCCCACGGGGCTGTTGCGGACCAGCGCAGGAGGCAGGAGGCT